TGGGAATTGTTTTAGCCGTTCTAGCGAGGAAATCCTTCGGGCAAAGTAGTTCTCGGGGAGTGCGCTGTTTCCGCTTCCTTGTAATTCCTTCAAGCTGTCATGACTTCCCATGATATGACAGGTCCCCCCACTTTTTGACGATCATCTGGAGCCGCTTTTCTAGTCCTCCTCGACGTTGAGAGGACTAATCAGCCTCCAAACACCTTGAAACCCTTTCAGGCTCATAGCGGAAGCCTCTGGTGGGGTACTCTCTCCATTTGGGAACTTACGTGTTCGAAGCAGTGGTGTCATATGTTGTCCTAGCTACTCCTCTACCTCTAAATTGACAGATTTGTGGGACAAAACCAACCCAGGTTTTGCTCTACTAATCTGGATTCAAATTCATGTCTGGCTAATTGACGCTGCAGTATCCTCCTATTAAAGCATACAGTCTTTGAAATATTATCAATGAAGAAAAAAAGGACATCAAAATACTTCCTCACAACGTGCTCGAGAACTTATTAATTGTTAAAAGGCTCTCTGAACTCAGATTCTACGAAGACCTACACGAGTTTTTCCAATTTTCCGCCATCAGATACTGGGGGCAATAAGCAGTACACTAATATTAGCGTGGTTATCGGAAGCCTTATCAGACCCAGCTCAATAGTAAGATTTCCCAAATTCTTCTAGGACCGACGTAATGGTACTACAAAACAGTCATTTACTCCCGTAGTGTGTAATCATCAGGCATACATTCATATGATTTGTTGCGAGCAACTGAAAAGTTCCATTCAAGCGTCCTTAAATCGCTTGTTTTGCACGGCATCCTGCTACCCCAGATATCGCAAAGACTGCTTGCAGAGCAGAGCCGGTGTCGTGACCCGTTACTACCAGTTTGTCTCCCTCAATCGGTCTGAAAGAGAAAATCTTTGAAAATAATTAGCTTATTCATTATTGTTGATCAAGACCTGCTCTGATTCTGCATGTAGAATTTCCTAAACACAAATCAACAAGTTATTGCTCTATGGAGGTCATTTGGCACCTCGTGACGCACTGCGATTCATTCTAGCGTATTAGTTGTTTTGCAGCAAGTGGCCTTATTCGTTTTTCCGGAGCTAGAAAAACAGGTTAGAAACGTATGTTCTTCTCAGATGCTTCTTGACACATACACCGTTACTCAAGCGCAGCCAAATGCATGGCACATGTCAAGCACGACTTTTTTTCAGCACTTTCCTTCCCGTTGTCACATAAAAGGCTTCAATCTTCACGTACTATATACGACTTATGGTTTACCATGTGAACTTAACGAGCCGAAGCTGAAACTCCAATAGTGTGATGGGCTACCTTCCAGGAATGCCACATACCACTCTTACTAGCTAAGCTTAATCTCTACGTGATTTATGCCGATATTATTATAATTGCTTTGACCTTATCATGCTGATTGATGTACGTATATCAGGTAGAACATAGCACTTGCTTCCTTAGAAGCCCAATGCACTTGGTAGCCCGTCGCCAATACGATACCTGGGATTTTTCGTCATTTCTCACGTGTGTGGTAGCCATTTATACAAGTAAATAATTAATCTTTGACGTAGTCGAATTTCAGCTTTAAAATTCTCGAGGAATCACCACGCAGTCGCCATTCAGCTGGTATTGTGCAAGATTCTATATGCGTAAGATGCTTATAAAACCATTTGCGGGGGCTGGCAGATGTTTCGAAAGTTTTTGTTTTCTACCCAAGCAAGTGTGGCACCATTTAACCGGGGAGAGTGAGACTGTACAAACTTTTAGCACCTGTCGTCTCTTCTGTGATCGCCCAGTTGAGGCCAGTATGGGGTGCCCATTTACTTCCTTCAGCTAGTCAATGCGGTTATCTCCTATCTACATACTTGCGAAACGCATTCGAAGGATTGAACTGTCACAATCGGATGGTCTCGGTTTTTTCAGTGGACAATTATTACTGCATACCTTAGTTTCGAAGCGTCAGCTGAAGCAAATGACGTCATGCTCGCGTTAGATGGCAGTCAAGCGTGCGTTTGCGCAGCGACTATCCTAATCAGCATCGCGTCAATTTGTTCGCAAGTATGTTTGCAAGGACGACCGCAGAGGTGCTTGGAACAACTTGTAGTGGATGATGATGAAAAACCAATCTGTGATTCTTCTGGGTGGCTTAAAAACTGTCGTATCCCCCTATGGAGTTCTCCCATCATTGAAAATCCTTATTCTCATGGTTAAAAACAAATTAACTTTTCCCCTATCCATAAATGGACCGTGTGAATTAGTCATAATAGGATTAGTCAAGTAAACGAGTAGGCAGGTGTCAAAGGACGTGCAGCTCGATACGCGAAAGCAGCTGTCGTCATCAACTGAATTGGCTTCTATTTTTTATTACTATCTCCATCTTTGGCTGTTATTTTCATTACTGTAACAGAAGATATCAAAATGTGTACTGAATCTGTTACAAAAAAANAAAAAAATCCCAAAACCCTTAGAACCTTATCTTCGGGTATTCTCTCCGTGACTGTAGCAGAAAATACCCAACTGTGAAGTAATTTTGCTCCGAAGAACCTCAAGAAGCCTCTGTGACCCCAGCATATGTTATGTCCCTCGTAGGTGTAAAGTATGAAGAACCTTAAATGAATGCAGTAACTGCTGTTTGACAAGTATAACACAGTATAGTAGACTCGATGTAGCCAGTTATTCTTGTTTTTCTTGTTTTTCCATCCAGTCTTTAACTTGACATGCTCAGCCGAGATTTCTGTTGCATGAGGTTTATGAAGCAGGTGTTAATGTGGGTAAGCAAAACTCTGAAGTACGCCGTATGAGGTAGAATGTTATGTATTTGTCTGACGATTGCTTTGGCACTCGGGCAATACTTAACAAGCTGATCCTAATATTATAGCTTCCATGATAACTCTGAGCTGTGAATCATGTTTCGCTATAGAGATTTTCATGATTTTCGATTTCCAACTTCAATGATGCCGAAACTTATCTGCTTGGGAATGTCCCAGTGCTTCATTAACTTCCACTTTTTCTCGTCGACGTCAGTAATCAACTTCATCAATCGAATATGAAGGGTTATTTTTACTCAGAATAGCGAAAAACTGTTGGAATATTGCCCATTACCTTGTTACTTACTCTATTATGCACGTGTCTACGCTGGCACTGTTGTTGTGTCTGTGGCTGTCGTTACCGTTTGAGAAAAGGCTTCAAACACGATCATGCGATTTAGGATGTATTGGGAAAGCAGTATTTTATGTACTGTTGGACCTAGACCTTTGCATTGTGCTCCACGGATTCCTTAGAGCGACCGGTTATATCTTCTCCTTCTGGTTGCTACCATTGAACCTTGCTCTGTTCAACAAGTTTACACCCCTGATACCGAAACCATTTTACTTCGATGTGCTCGCAGATATTGGGTCCTTCGGGAGGTTTTTGTCGATTTTTTCGCTCTACTGCAAGTAGAGATTTCTGAAGGGCCAAATCTGTTATTGAGACAATGCTTTCTCCATTCTGCTCAATAATAATATTATAGTTCTAACCATCTTCGTGAAACTTACGGTCCCGCATTCATAGAAGGTTCCAGACTTAGGATTAAAAAACTGTTCAAGTGCATTTTGCAGTACTTTAGAGAATCAAAGGATACCAAACAAAATGGATTCTGTAGAGATCTAGACAAATGTTGCTTCGCCAACCCACACACTTATTTCATGTGGCCCTAGGAAAACTAATTTTTTGCTGCCCATTTACAGCTCTTGACCGATGAACTAATCAAATACAATAGGACTGAAAGAATTTCAGCTTGCTTCCTCAGCGGTAGAGTTTTTGATGAACACTCCCGAAATTCCGCTCTATTTCTTCTTACTTTTTATCAAGTGCATACTACTGGGGGGAGGGATATACTAGGGATGACTGGCACTGGTACCGCACGTATGTTACTGGGATCGAATCCGTCCAGACCGTCCACGCCTATTATCCTTTTAACTACCACCAGTTTCGGACGACGAGAACACTGTCTCATGTAACTTAAGACCTTTAGTTCATGGTGCAGGACAGGTAGGTAATCGGTAGACAACCACCAAACTGAACGGAGTTCGGATGCTCGGCTCATTCCGAAAATAGACAACCTATCTCGAAGTTAATTACTTTCTCTTCTCTATACTCCAATTTTACTTCATCAAAGTCACGAACAATTAGTCACGTGTTTCACAGATGATCACGTCATGCATTCTCGGGGCTGTAACCAGATTTCCGAGAAAACCACTTCTTTCGTAGTACCTGTTTATGTGTTAACCCTTTTCCGAGAATGAGATAATTTACAACCTATTTATATTAATTATTTGCCACGCAAAATATCGCCTACTTGCTTATGGTTGATTGTTAGGCACCACCCCGGAGTTTTTAGCATTACTAACTTGTTATCTGATTTGTGGTTCTACATTATTGCTCTCCTGGTAAACCTAATAATCATAAAGAAATGGTATAATAATTGATTCCTATTTTGGCTTCCCAGACACTGACTTCTGACGAACTTACCACATAAAGACAAATACAGAAACACCTGCAGTATGCATGCTCAGAAATCAAACCCTTTCCCGTCATGAAAAATAGGCGTAGTGGAAGCTGCCACTGTTGCGAAGAGCTCTTATCGTAGCTAATTGTGTGGTCCGTTTCCCCCATATTTGGCCCCAATGACGTGTACATGCGTGGGAAGAAAATAAGCTACAACTAACTTAATTTTTAGTTATTTACTGCTGAGCTGAATTGGTAGAATGAGATTCTGTCAGAGCTGCCCACCACGGCACTCCATAACTTCAAACCTCCTCACACCGCAGTTACTTTTAGCATTTCTCTCTTCTGAATTTCCATTCAATACTTTGATAGTCAGTATATAGGGAATGGTATGCCTGTCATGCTTGCTGGACTTCTAACTTAGTGCCAGTGATTTATTGGACGTAATCAGCCCAGTCAAATCCGGATGGGTCACGAATAAGGCAGCAAGGTAACAGTTGACAGTAACAATGAATGTGCTTGTTAGACAGCGGTACACTTGTAGTGGGCGGCAGAGCGACATTCGGCATTTGCCGCCTGGGCGCACCGCGTGCGGTGAGCGGCGGGTTTACGCCTCGTCGCACCAGGACCCAACACATTGCACTATAGTGTTTTGTACTATGTAACTTAGCTATTAAGGAGAACGTGCATTATAATTCCCCTACTTTATTCGGGAAATTATTACGACTTGATTTGTGGTCTGCTGGGAGCGACTTTGTTATATCAGGACTTTCACCGTTTCAACTATTTTTTGAATTACTGCATTACCGATTACCTTGCTATCAATAAGCCAAGCATAGCCATTTGGAAGAAATGAGCTGCATTCATGTGATTACTTGAAGTCGTTCAGTTTTTTGTCTGCCTCGAATGCCTTGCCGTGCATAAGCTCATTATAAGAGACATCGTTCTATGGAATGAAAAAGCCGCTGGGCGCACTGCATTTTGGTGGCGAATTGAACTAGCACAGGACGTTCCTCATTGGTTGATCGGGGGCCATACGGCAATCCTGCCAATGAGGATCGCCCTTTAGCAGAGCCTGCTCCACCATTTCCAGTGTGCTCCGCGTGATCACTGCTCTGACAAACTTATTTTCTTATCATTCTAGGTGCTTCTGAAAAGATTGACCGTCCTGGTCCTTTGACGAACTCAAAGCTCGGAACCCGAAGAACCCAAAAATTACTGACAATATCTCCACGTCTCTCTGAAGAAGTCTCCCTTACGGACGCAATGGAAAAAGAGGAGTACGTGGAACCTCATAATGGCTTTTTGCTCCTGTGCACTATTTACTTACTTATACCGATTTGTTCAGGCATCAAGATGTGGACGTCGTTGTGGTGGCCGTTGTAGTCACCTGCATATTTCTCATACCTACGGCTTTCTTTGTCATCTGTAGGCTACATACCAAGTTGAAGAAGAAGGCTCACAAGTAAGTTAGTCTGTGTACTGGAGTTCTCAAAGTTTTCTATACATATAACACTATTTACGGATGGGCTTCAGGAAACGTGACAGTAAAGCCTACTCACTTCTGCTCTGACTGAGTCATGATCTCTCGCAGAACACCCTCTCTGAAGGAATCCACCACCGATTGTTAATGTGAATAAGCGGCTTCGATTAATCACCCTCCTAGGCCGGAAATAACACCCTCGTGTTTACGAATGAATAATCAAGTCGGGAAGTGGATATATGAAAGACCCAGTTCCGGAGCTGAACTAGAGGAAACAGTGGAACACAGTGGAACCATTTACGAGCGGGTCAGGAAGTCGCTGTGACAACAGACCTATGGCTCCGTTGCTCGCTTCTCAGGGGTTGTGATGAACAGAGCCTGTTGCTCCTGAAAAGTTAAAAAGTGGCTTAAATATAACTACGGGCGATTTTCCTCGATGAGCATCGGCATGAGTCTGCAGGGTAGATGGTTTGCAGATTCAAAATTGAAAATGGAAATTCAGTAAACGGAATTTACCTTAGCAGGTTATCTTAGCATCCTTGTGACATGATCAGGGACAAATAAGTGGAGCTCACTGGGCTTGGCTGGTTTGACGGCATGGCCTGATCCTATTTTTCGAAGATGGAGACCCTCTCTAATTAGGTTGACGTTGGTCTAACGCTACTAGTAGGACAGAAATATCCGATCAGACTACGATGGATTCCGCAACTTATTACATAGAAAATATAATTCAAAGTGCCGTTGGAGTCCTGATTGAAGACATATGCGTGGCGCAATTCGAAAATTTGTTTTTGACCTCCGCTAAGCAACTTTGTCTAATTGTTCTGTTCAAACCCCTCATGTTCACACTATTTCAGGAGGGCGTCTCGAGTTTCAGTGGTTTCCATAGCGCCGATGAATCGGCCACGCAAATCTTCTATAGTCTTACCGCCAATAAGTGAGTTTGATCTTTAAAGAATTTCGTATTGAGTGACACGAGGCACCATTTGACCCGTTCTAGTGACCTAGTTTCTTGATATAATAGTGCGTTCCTCATTGGTGGGTCGATGCCCGAAGATTCCACCAATTAGGAGAGCACACTCGGGAGGTAGACACACATTCTTTTGCATAGAGAGCTGGAAATTTAGCACACTTTTTTGGTCTTCCTCTAGTAACGGCCGGATCACCATAGTGGATCAAGTAATGGCTCCAGCTGTGAAGAAAAATCGTGCGCGTGCCACTGTTTTCTTGTGAATCTTCAGAATAAGAAAAAGAGTATTACAGGGCACGTTCCGATGCAACATCGGCCTTCCATGGAGCTATCTACAGTAGAAGCACCTGGTTCGTTTTTATTATAATTTCGATTAGAAGGTTTCAGTAACAACTTCTATTTCTATTTAGTTACTTTCTGAAATGAGCATTTATCAAAGCAAATCTCCTCTGCCTGATCCATAAAATCCAGTCCTTGAGTGCCCTCACGTATTGCTCCTTACCAACGCACCTGGCTAAATAGAGTACAACAGCTCCGTTGATCCCATTACCACTTTCCAACCGGCCTGTGGGACTCTGCCTCTGCCTCCTCTGCTGTACTTAGAGATCTGAATGGGAGTTCAACATAGATGGGGCAGTGAAAGAGTCTTTGAGTTATATGAAATAGAACGAAATAAACGTTCCTAATTCTGAACCGGTCAATAATTTCACATATTCGCGTTCCTATGACTCTTTCATCCCTTCATTTCCATACTGTGTACGGTACTCAAGTAGACGGGTTCACCGTCGAGCAGGAACTGGCAAACGGGCAGCAACTGACAACAGATTCCCTTTTGCCGTTCGTGAAGTATTCCTTCAATATCTGACAGGAATCTCACTCTGGGTTTTTTCTAGTCTCAGTAAGGCCTTTTCAGATGCGATTGGTCTTGGAAATACAGATGGAGCGAACAACATTCGCCGTTTTTCAGCATGCTACCTGACTGAGTTGAAACTTATGGATGTCGGCCCATTACCCCATGATCAAGCTGTCGTCGATGAGCAACGAGAACGTGAACTGGAGAAACGTGCGTCACTCGCTGTTCAAACGAACTGACAAAACTGATTCGATTTAAAATTGTACATATTCAAATGTATTCTCTCATAATAATTAATTGCTTTTTTGCTGTTGTCTCATTTCCCTCTGCTTCATTTCACTGCCTTGCTGCTCATCGTTGCCATAACTAAGTAATCTAATTTCCCAACTAGTACTCATGCAAACTAGTAATGTGGAATGTTTTGCGCATTCCTTTCTCATACTTTCGTTGTTGTCCATCTAAACAATTGATCTGACTTTTTCTGTGGCTGTGCATTATATACCACTCATACGTGCTGTCGCGATGCGTGTACTTTGAGCTCGTGAAAAATGTTTGCTTTCTTTTGCGCATAAGCTAAATATGTAAGATTGATTACATAATTAAGATTTTATTAATTGTACCATTACCTTTTTGTGGAGCTCACTGGCATGGACTTGACTCATTTCCACACAACGTAGAGAGCCAGTGGTCTACTGTCTGCCTCGCACCGTAATGGACTTATCTTAACTCTCATTATGCCTTTTTTTTATTCCTAGTTGTTGCTTAGGTTACGGCTTGCTTTATTTATTACATTTTATTCATTTTAATTCACTGAAATTTGGTAAGAAATTGTATCTTGCTCATTGTTTACTTCTTTGTGATAAAAGGCCGGATAGCGTTACGGTAAGGTAAGAAATCCGGTCTCGCCCAATTTCATTCTGATTAAGCTTATCACAAATAAATAGAAAGTTAGAAAATTTTTCGACTTGTGGGTTCACAGAAGTGTTAGATTATTCATTTCAAAGGCGATACTTCTTCAAGTGATATGTACAAAAAAGGATGAGAGACAACGTTTACAAGGAAGGTTCCAGGCTTCGACGGAACCTTGGAAAGCTTGCTCACATTCCAACCGCTACTCGCGGGGAACTGCCTTCTTTCCCTATATTTACACCTTTTCTACAAATCAAGTTACTTAGTAAAGAGTTTCACGCACGAGTTTCTTGCGACCTGTTCAGAGACCATGTTGTTTCACTACAACATCGCCGGTGGTTTCTAAGGTTCACTACTTTATACCTGTTTACTTACTACCGCTAAAGAGATATGGCTAATAGAAGCACAGTCGTATCCGCACCCAACTAAACTGCACTTAAAGCATCATCGGGAATCTCAATTTTTCCCACCGGCCATTCGATATGGGCAAGTTCCCTATCGCCTCGCTTGTCTTGATGGCACGTCTGTGGCTTTACCCTATTCAGAGTATCTTCTCTTGGACCTCTGAAATCGCCAGCCTTTTGATTTTTTTTTTGTAGCCTGAAGCATTGAACCTTTCTTTGAAATTCTTTTCAGCAGCAAATGAAACATTGCCAAAATTTCTATTTTAAGGCAAATTTTTTATTAAGTATTTGTAATACACCTCTAAATCTAAACTTTTCATTGCTCTATTTCCTTCTGTGTGCTGAAAATTCGTATTTTTGGGCGAGAGGAAAAAAATACAGACGCAGCATGACGGTAATAGCATGTTGGGTGGGTAAATTTCAAGACTTGATTGAAATATTATATTTTCACTATTCTCTAGCCTTACGTCAGTCTTTCAACGAAAATCTAAACAGCTTAGAACTGGTATTCAGCCTATGAACTGACTTATGGTAATCAGTTGCACTTCAACTTGTTTTTTTTTTATTTTGAACAAGCCTAAGACCACCAGCTGAATCTAATGAAGATCGAAAGTTGCCTTTCTCAGTTGGCTTTATGCTTCTTTTGCTTGTGAAAGAATTGCTTTTTTCACGTTGAAAGGGCGTAATATGGCTCCCTTGGGAAGGGAAGTGCTGCGGAACGCATGGACCCACAGCGGAAAACGGGACTTTTTTCTTCAAGTCATAGGAACTCATCGAGATTCAAGGAAGTTAGAGAAGCTAACTGGCCTTCAGTTAAACAGAATTGTATTGCTGCAACTGAATTCGAAAGTTAGTCAAACTAGGAAGACCTCATTGCCTGCTAGTGAAGCTAATCCATTACCTAGCAATGTTAGGGGGACGGAGAGCATATGAGAGCTTTCCCAATCCCCTGAGAGCTTTCACTTCGTTTTTTGTGCTGGATTGTTAGGAGCGATTCTGTTGTCAAGAGCGGGACATGACGGAAAGGCATGTGAGAAGTAGAAAAAAAGGGAGAACGGTTCCGTTCGTCTCAGTAATGAACTACTTAAAGCTTCATCACCGCTCTCTCCTCTTCCTCAACGGCCGTTGCTCTAACAACGTTTCTATAAGGTCAAAGCGCCATTGTCGTTCACGTACTTTCGAGGAGTAATATGATAGCAGTAATTTTTTGTTACAATTAAATTAGTTCCCTTTATATGTATATATCAGCACATTCGAGAGGGAGGTATCCTCATTATTACCTATAACCAAGGGGTAATTTCCGGTGGTGAAGATCCAGTTCACCTAACGGTACCTTATACTGGTATTCATATACTACATACAACTCACTTTGCAAAATTTTCTTTTAGTCCAACAACCTAACCCTGACCCGGCATTTTCCCATCTTGTTCCTCCTGAAGACCTAAAAGGTCAAATGTAGTGCGCGATGATAATGTCTCTTTGCCTCAAATAACTTCAGTGAAAGAGGACTGGCTTACGTGAGGTCCTTCTTAGGAACAGAACCCTCCGATCCGTACATGGAACTGAAGCAGTGGTGGGAATTCTCTTCCAAAAGATGGTTTCCTTTGGTAATTATGTAGGTGAAATGCGCGTTCAACTGCTTCTACGATTTCGGACGTAGATCGAGTCAACGGCGTATTCCATAGTACCTCTCTAACTCCAACTGATCTGTAGTTTTACCCTTTTTAATAGATGATAACGTAGTAGAATTTCATTTTAGTATGCAGCTCTTACAATTAAACATTTCCAGTCTTTCACAGCTGCAGTCGGAAAAATAATTTAATTTGAATTTTTACGAAATGTTCCGTATAACCCCCTCTCCACATGTTACCAGCAATACCAGGTCATAAGGAAACAATCAACGCTTGAATAGAAATAATTCGATGAAGATGGTCCAACTATAGTGATTTTCATGATCCAGAACGTACATCCGCATGAAACTCACGCACTTTTCTGACTGAATTTTGCGTGCGGTCGCGTAACGTACTGCTGGCCCCTTGCCAAAATAGAGATAGAGGATCGAGAAGGCAGATTTCGTGGATCAAGTAGCAACACGGATTGGGTAAGTGAAAGAGACACAGGAAAAGTTGAAACGAATTGTGGGTGGTCCATCATGGCTGTCCAGTAGGATATATAAGATGGGGCATGGCAACTGGGTGGCAGTTTTGACAAATTTGGTGTGACTGTTCGATACAACAAGAGCAAGTTTACCTATGATACCAGTTACACACTGGGACGCATATTGATTGGTGCGGAATGGCTCAAAATGGAAGATGATTCAAGAAACTAATAGCTCACTTGAGATTGGCTCAATAGTACGTGCATAAGGTTTTGAGGGGAAACAATTCGGTCCCTAGTACTTCAGTAGAACTTTGGACTTGCGATAGTCAAAAGGCTCAGAATTTTATTGATCAACTCTACCTACTTACCACCTCTACTGGTAACCATTCTTTGACTGACCAAAAAAACAACACAGTCAACACATTATGCTGACTCATAGCACTCACAGTTGAATAGAGCAATTCATTTGGTGTCAGATATTGGTCGTCGTTCAAGACTCGTCCGTCGCCTGTCGTCGATTGTGTCAAACGGGCGATTCGGTGCATTTTCGTTCGCAATCGAATCGATTCGCGGTGGTCCTCGTAAAATCGGCCGTTCAGTCGGTCGCTTGTGTGTTCCTCGTTGTCAACCTCGCCCCGATCACCTCCACTTGCTCGCTGGGGCTATTTCCCATTGACAGCCTATCTCTTCACATTCTATAATTCATTTGGAATGCTAGTCAATGTATGCATGAATATTTGTTTTGAACGGAGCCACGAATTGGGCCAGCCATCGCCCAACGTTTGTCCGAGATCTGATCTGTGAGCGATGACTGCCCCACCACGTGCAAAAACTGTGTCCACCACCGAAAATTTTCCATTCCACTTGGCTTTTTATTACTAGAGATGAGTAGTGTTTTGATTGCACATCTCGCTTACCAGTTTTCATAGAGGTAAACATAGCCCTTCTCATTTCTGTTCATATAAATACTCAAGAAATTTTTGAAGTGCTTACACGTTTTTGAAGAACAGCCCTCATATCGGTACCATACTATTTTTTCCAACGAATTTAGCGATGAGAGAACAATTGGGTCCTGGACCTTCAATTCGCTACCATTTATCAATTGATTAGTTGCTCTAAAGTACTTTTAATCATTCAGTATTACTGGCTTGAGGAGACCCTGTTCACTCGTCTAGCACAAAGATCCTTGTCAATTATTCTCTGCTTACAAATTAGCTGTGGGAAGACATCTTTGAAATAAAAAGTCATTTTGAGATCACGCCTAAACTCAGTTTTTCGATATCTTCGCCGGTTTCATTCGCTTCTTTCCCCGTGAAAGTGGATAGGGAACTAGCTGGTCCAAAAACCAGTTAGTTTTGAAAGATATGACGAATTCAATAGGCACCACATTTCCAATAACGCAAAAGTGGCGTTCGAAAGTGTACTGCGACCAAATAATTTCGAACTCCCTGAATCTCGTGATATTTCGGTCAAGCAGCCCATACTCGTGTCCATATGTACAGCTGCACCGAATGGTGGAGAAAAAGGACTCGACATCGCATGCCTACCTCATTCATCCTACTTCCAACCCATTCACTTCTTGATTTCATTCTGTTTCATATTCCTTACGATTTTTACTTCATTTTTCCTGTTTTTTTTATTGTGCCGGTCGTGGTTTGCTTTCAGCTCTGTCATGTTGCTCTCCGTTTTAAAAAGTTCTCTCAACCAAAATCACTTGTAGTTCTGTCCCTCTGAGAACAATGCAGAAAGAAACCAACTTACAGCTGTTGTAATAGACAACTTGCAGTTTAAAGTCACTTTTGATGACTAGGGGGGTTTGCAAATCG